ATAAATCGGCTCCATCTCTCGAGTGCAATCATTTATTTCAACTTATTCAAACTGAAAACAAATGTGAACAAAAGCAGGTTTTTCTGCTGAAGCTTTGTTCTCAAGCTGAAGTTTTTCGGATCTTTTTAAACATATCGATGGTTTTGTCGGTTTCGTGTTTGTTTTTGTTCCGCTGCTTTATTTCCTCCTGTGGTTTTTCTCTGTGGTTGATGAAGCAGCTCAGGGGTTCTGTTCATTCTGGAATGTTTTGGAGAGAACTTGAAATGTGAAGTAGACTTCCTGTTGGGTGATAGTAAACACTGGTGCTTCCTGTCTTGTTACATTTGAAATCTACTGAAATGTCTCTTGTTTTATTCACATGTTCACATTTTCTTTCTTTAGATTGTTCAATGTGAGACTTATTTACCTGTTTAGTTTTTTATGAAAAGCACATTCTTTGCACTTTGTCTGTGTAAGATAATTATTATGTAAGACCATAAGCTCAGAGGTTTCTTGGTTCATTTATCGATTATTTTATTTTGGTTACCTTTTTTAAGAGCAGAAGTTTTTCTTATGAAAACTCAAGTTCTGTTTTTATAACTTGAAGGACCATGAATCCGTCCGTCATCGTCTTAATCAGATTCTTTTCCTCGATCGAAACCTTCAGCCTTTGTGTTCGTCTCTTTCTGCGGCGACTGTGAAGTCGTTTCAATCAGTTTTTATACTAACACGTATTTTCATCCTGAACGAATCTGCTGATTGTTGATTCATTGTTTGGTCTGTTAATCTTTTTAACTGTGAAAATGAAACTTTACATGTTTAGAAAGAACTCACACAATCAACACATGCTCCAAACGATCAGTTTTCTTTCAATCAACCAAACGACCGATGGACTCTCTCGAGTGTAAACGCTGAATGAAATGATTTAAACTCAAACAGTGATGGTTTTTCCGTCACAGTGAAAAAGCCATTGAGTTCAACACATTAATCACTTCTTGTAACTCATCTTGTGAATAATGAAACTAGAAAAACAATAAATCTCCTCTGCGCTGGTTATAAATATCGTCGTCGCACCTGTTTTGCTTCTGCAGGTTTGTGTGAGGACGTTGTTGTTGTGTCACAGTCTGGAATCACACTCGCACCTTTTCAGCCTGGTTTACATAATAACTGTGAATGTGCCTGAACTCCGTGTTTCAGACGAGAGTGAGTCACTCGGTGAACGCCTGCCGCTCCCTCCTCAGGTCAGCTGTTTTATAAACTTATCGTGTTGTCAGGGGGAGAGTTCCTGTTCCTCTGCCTTCAAAGTTTAGCTTCCATCCGTGACTGTGTGTGTGTGTGTATCTGTGTGTGTGTGTGTGTTGACATGTGAACAAACAGCAGGTCAGACATTTAAATTGTTCCCTCCTGATGTGTGTTTGTGTGCGTTCGAACCGCAGGCATGTGGTCGTCAAGGTGTGTTTGCCCGAGGGCGTGTGATGTGAACGCATGTTGACAGTTAACGGAGGCGGGACATGTAGTGCTCAACCTGTTTGTCTGCTTCTCCTCAGGTATTGGTTCACCTGACTGGCGGCGCCTCGCCTCAGAATCCACCTGCAGAGCAAACAGCGTGGACTCAGGACTGAGGCCGTGTGACTGCACCTCCACAGAGGCCAGATGTGTGCAGCTGCCTGATGGATGCTGGGCTGCGTCTCCCCGGTGAGTTCACTGTCAGGCCTCCTCCTGTCGGGGGGGCCTGGGGCGGGGGGTTTCTGTTTCAGCCTCTGATTGTTTTTTTGCTCTTACAATTCAACCAGGCAGCGCTTTGCCTCCATCGTGGACGAGTTCATATCTGGAGCTAAATATTTTCCTTTGTCTCACTCTATTTTCCTCCTTCTCTTCTTTCAACCGCTCTTTTGATTTCCTTTGAGTTTTGTTGTCCCTGAAATGTGCCGACGATCCAGTTTGATTTAGGATGAGTCTAATAACACTAATAATAATAATATAATGCAGCAGCATTCAAAACACAGTTACTAGTTTAAGATTTAAACTTTAAATTTAATGTAATTTAAAATAATTTGTCTTCAGTTTGAGGTTCACACATCAAAAAAGCTCAGATACAGAAATAAAAACGGCTCCAGATGAGAAAAGAATCAAAACGAGATGAAATGAAAATAGTGGTTGAGATCAGAACAATGAGACCGTGTTTCTAAAGAGGATCAGGAGTTTGATCTCAGCTGTTCCCTGAATGTTTTCACTCTTTAGACCTGCAGCCATGTGCACTTTGACTCTCCTGTAAAACGTTTAATGTGTAACCGTCCGAGTCGTAAATCTGCTGCTTCCTTTGCTCGAATCTTCGTAATATAAGATAAACTCCAGATTCTTGATCATCTTGTTTTCTGTATCATTGGTTTGATGACTGGTGGATTTTTATACAGTTTGTGCTGGAGACCTCCCACTGACGACGGTAGAGGATAAAAAGAGAAAGTAAAAATAAGAAGCATCAGTAAAAAGAATAATAAATACGTAAACATGCACTAAGAACACAATTAAATATAAAACTAGAGATGAATTAAATATATCATGTTTTATTATGTAGATTGTAATAAAAGTAAAAGATCTCATGTTGTTCACCAACGTCCTTGTGATGAGTTTAATTGATGTGTCCCATCTGAAACTCCTGAGGACTTCTTGTGTATTACTGCAGTATATATACTGTATGTACAAATATACAGTGTATGTACTTTCCAACTAGTTAACGTTATATACTGTATAAAGAGGTGTTTGTGTCTCTTAATCTATCCATGTGTTTATTTATGATCTGATATTCTGTCTTTATGTCTCTAGAAAGTGTAAAATATATAAAATATCACTTGACTTGAAGTGATGAATGATTTGAAAGTGGATTCTCTCAGTTCTGTGCCAGGATTTCTATAAAGGGAAAGTCGTGGGTGGGTGTGGTTACTTTGACATTTTGTTCTTAGAAGTAGGAAACGCCCAACAACAGAACACAGCTCTGGATAAACCTGTTGGTGGTTTCAGACCCAGCAGCCCCGAGGCCATATCTCAAATACCTGCTGAGTTTCCTGTTCGGAACTGGGAAACTGACGCCCTCTTGTTTTTAGTTATGGATTTTTGAATCTTCAGTAAAAATGTTATTTTCTCTGACGAGCTGATACGAGAAGACATCATTTATAAACTGATGACGATGAACTCTGAGAAAATAACATCATGTCCACATAAAAGTTGAATCTGCTGATGGATCTTTTATTTCCTCGTGCAGGTTTAGTCAAAGAAAATTTCTCGACACTGTGACAGAAAACACGAGGATCATGGTACGAACCATCAACCTTTTAATCCTCTTTCATTCCCACGCTGCTTTTTTAAACTCTCGGGTTTTGTGCTTCTGTTTTTAACACTTGGTGAAATGTCTTCGCTCGCAGCCTCGTCACCGCAGAGGAAAGAGTCTCTCTGACGCCATCACCCTGGAACAGGCCGAGGACGGAAGTCTGTTCATCTCCAGCATCAACAACGAGGATTCAGCTGATCGGCGTCTGGAGAGAGGTTCGAACTCTGACTTCTTATTGAAAGTTTAACATAATATTGTCTAAAGTTGTCGATTCACCAGAAAACGTCTTTATGGTCATTTTCTGGACCTTTGTGTTTCTTGATCAGCAGTAATGTGAAACCTCCAATATTTCTATTTTCTATTTAAACACATTTCTTTTAAATCCAGTGCTCTGCTGATTGATCCGTTTCCTGTCGTGATTCTGTTTCTCGAACCCTCTGAACGTTTAAAGCTCCTGGAACACATTTTAGTTTTACACGGAAATATGAATTTTCTTTTTCAGGGGATGATGTTTTGGGGGCAACGAAGATAATGGAGCCGTTTGATGACAAAGTCGGAGTTCTCAGCAGGAGCAACCTGAGCAAGAGCCTCGGGAATCTGGACGAGTGCGTAAACAAGAGTCCCAAGACGGTAACTGACTCTTTTATAACTTAGTTTATATTTATTCCTCTAACGTAAAAATGTGTGTTCAGTTTTTGCAAGAATTTGTACAAACCCAACTGATCCCAACTGAAAAGAAGCGTATAATAGTTATAATATAATAAAAGATATAATAGTTATAATATAATAAAAGATATAATGGTCACACTCGTTGTGTTTTGTGTTTCTAGATGTTGAAGGATTCCTACAACAAACTCTATAATGCCAAAATCAAGAAGTTTATGAAGGATGATTTGCTTGGTGCTGATGAAGGTCGTGAGAACGGCAAACCAACTGCTGCCGGCTCATCCAAGATTGGCCTGAAACACGACATGGACCTGCCTCGCCTCGGAGTGGACTTTGGACTTCTGAAATCCAACAGACGCAAAACATCAGAATCTGATTTTGACGCTGATTCAGAATCTGATGATGCAACACTAGGTGGCAGCAATCTGAATCTCCCACCGTTGGGTCTCGGTTCGAGAGGAGCCGCTCGAAGTGGAACTCAGGCACCAAGAATGACGGTCGAGTCCAGAAGTCCGCAGCTTCACGCTCCAGACTTCCATCTGAACACCAACAGTCCATCGGTTGACCTGTCAAGACCTCAGATTGGACTGGAAGGTAAAGGAACTTTTAAAGCTCCAGAAATAGGAGTCTCCGGTGTTGGTACCCCTGAAATGGGGATGAATCTTAATCGTGGAAATATCACTGGTCCGTATTTTAACGCTAGCGTTCCCAAAGTGGGTTTTGAAGACGAAGACAATGAATTCAAAATGCCAAAATTCAATCTGCCTGACCTGGGTCTCTCAGGACCTTCTTTAAATGGAACAGAATATGACCTGGAGATACCAGATGTTCCTTCACATAAAATCAATGTCAAACATTCCAAGAAACTGAAAAAGACAAATCGAAATGTGGATGATTTTTCAGGTTATGCGGATTCACCTACACTAAGGCTCTCTGGGAGATCCCCTGACTTAGACCTAGAAATGCCCGGTGCTAATGTTTCACAGCTCGATCTCAGTGGACCAGACCTTGATATGCCCTCACATGGATTCAAAACGTCGTTTCAAAAACCAAAGATTGATCTTAAATCTCCAGGTTTAGATTTGGATGCTCCAGCTGGTAAATTCACTTCGCCCAAATTTGGATTCTCGGGGAACGGTGAAGCTAGAATGCCTGATCTCAAAACACCGAAAGGTGAGATTCGCGCACCTGACGTAAATCTACCCAAAACTGACCTGAAGGGTCAGTCTGGAAAATACAAAGCTCCCAGATTTACAATGCCCCAATTTGATTTACCAGACATTCAAGTTCCAGATTTTAATGAAAACTTCGAGGGACCAGATATGCATTTGTCTGCACCGAATCTCAGAGCTGGAATTGTAAACCCAAACGTTGACTTAAATGTGCCCTCGGCCGACATTTCAAGTCATTCTGGAAAAATCAAAATGCCAAGCTTTGGGCTTCCTGGGCATAAAATGAAAGGCCCCGAATATGAGTTAAAAACTCCAGACATGGATGTTTCTGCTCCCAAGTTTAAAGGAGGCATCGATCTGCCCAGTGTTGACCTCAAAAAACCAAAGCTCGACATCCATTCCCCTGATATTAATGTGCCTGCTGGTAAATTAGACCTTGATGCAGATGTTCCCTCTGGAAAAATGAAATTACCAAAATTTAAGCTCTTCGGTACGTTGCCAAAGAATAAAGATGTGGATATCAACGCAGGGATTAAAACACCTGAGCTCAATCTAAAATCCCCGAAGCTAAAAGGCATCGATGCTCCTGATGTGAGTTTACCAAACATGGACCTCCATGCTCCAGATGTGAACATTGGTTCACCCAAAGGCAAATTCACTAAGCCAGGGTTTGACATTGATACACCTTCACTTGATCTGAGAGGCCCAAGGTCAAAGCTGGAAATGCCTGATGCTGATATTGGAGGTTTTTCAGGAAAAATGACGACGCCAAATTTTGGATTGTCAGGACCGAAGATGAAAGGGTTTGGTGGTGAGGTAAATCCTCCAGACTTTGATCTTTCAGCCCCCAGATTTAAAGGTGATATCGGTTCCCCAGATCTGAATTTACCTGAGATGAACTTTAACAAACCCAAACTAGATCTTTCTGGCCCAGATTTTCCCTCAGGTAAATTTAAAGGACCAGCAATAAAGAAACCAAACTTTGACCTGAATGCTCCTGACATGCACATTGACGCTCCCAAAGGCAAATTACAAATGCCTAAATTCAACCTGTCCAGCACAATGCCAAAGGGGCCAGATTGGGACGTAAATGCAGATCTGAAATCACCAGATCTGAATTTTAAATCTCCAAAGATAGAGGGGGGAATTGGCACCCCTGATTTGGACTTTCCAAACATGGACCTTAAAGCCCCCAAGTTTGACGTTAAATCTCCAGATGTCAACATTGGTTCACCCAAATCAAAATTTAAACTGCCCAAATTCAAGAAACCTAAATTTAGTTTTCCAAGTCTAAAAGGACCTGATATCAGTGGTAATGGCCCAGACATGGATATCAGTGCACCCAATGTCAACCTCAAAGCTCCTAAAGCTGATTTTGAAATGCCAGATTTTAATATTTCTGGTCCGTCTGGAAAATTCAAAAAGCCAAATTTGAACCTGCCTAACTTGGGGCTGTCTGGTCCAAAGTTAGATGGCCCAAACTTGAACCTGAAATCCCCTAACCTAGATCTTTCTGGTCCCGACCTCAGTGGTGGGATAAATGCACCAGACATAAACATGCCCAAGGTTGACCTGAAGAGCCCCAAACTGGATTTCAATACTCCAAAACTCAACCTAGACATGCCTTCAGGTAAAATGAAAATGCCAGAGCTTCATGCTCCAGACTGGGATGTWAATGCTCCCTCGGGAAAATTGAAAATGCCTAAATTTAATCTTTCAGGAACTTTACCAAAAGGACCAAATATGGACATGAAYGCAGATCTGAATGCACCAGACTTGAACCTGAAAGCTCCAAAGATAAAGGGTGGATTTAATGCCCCTCACATGGACCTGAAAGCTCCTAAGTTAGACATGAACACTCCAGATGTCAACATTGGCTCACCCAAATCAAAATTTAAACTGCCCAAATTCAAGCTGCCTAAACTTAGTCTTCCAAGCTTAAAGGGGCCTGAGATTGACGGACACTTGGATGCCCCAGATGTTGATGTGAATGTACCCAATGTCAACCTCAAAGCTCCTAAAGCTGATTTTGAAATGCCAGGTTTTGATATTCCTGCTCCATCTGGAAAATTCAAAAAGCCAAACTTGAACCTGCCTGACTTGGGGCTTTCCGGTCCAAAGTTAGATGGCCCTAACTTGGACCTCAGATCACCTGACCTAGATTACGCTGGTCCCAGCCTTAGAGGTGGGATAAATGCACCAGACATAAACATGCCCAAGGTTGATCTGAAGAGCCCCAAACTGGACTTAAATGCCCCAAAGCTCAACCTAGACATGCCATCAGGAAAACTAAAAATGCCAACACTGCCAAAACCAAAGGCAGAGCTTCATGCTCCAGACTGGGATGTTAATGCTCCCTCGGGAAATTTAAAAATGCCTAAATTTAATCTTTCACGGCCAAATATGGGCATGAACGCAGATCTGAATCCACCAGACCTCAATTTTAAATCTCCAAAGATAAAGGGTGGGATTAGTGCCCCTGACTTGGACTTACCAGACATGGACCTTAAAGCTCCAAAGTTAGATGTGAACACTCCAGATGTTAACATTGGTTCACCCAAAGGAAAGTTCAAAATGCCAAAACTGAAAATGCCCAAATTTAGCTTCCCAAGCTTAAAAGGACCTGAGATTGATGGAAACTTCGATGGTCCAGATGTTGATTTAAATGCACCAAAGGTCAACCTCAAAGCTCCTAAAGCTGATTTTGAAATGCCAGATTTTAATATTTCTGGTCCATCTGGAAAATTCAAAAAGCCAAATTTGAACCTGCCTAACTTGGGGCTGTCTGGTCCAAAGTTAGATGGCCCAAACTTGAACCTGAAATCCCCTAACCTAGATCTTTCTGGTCCCGACCTCAGTGGTGGGATAAATGCACCAGACATAAACATGCCCAAGGTTGACCTGAAGAGTCCCAAACTGGATTTCAATAGTCCAAAACTCAACCTAGACATGCCATCAGGTAAAATGAAAATGCCAGAGCTTCATGCTCCAGACTGGGATGTTAATGCTCCCTCGGGCAATTTAAAAATGCCTAAATTTAATCTTTCACGGCCAAATATGGACATGAACGCAGATCTGAATCCACCAGATTTGAACCTGAAAGCACCAAAGATAAAGGGTGGATTTAATGCCCCTCACATGGACCTGAAAGCTCCAAAGTTAGATGTTAATACTCCAGATATTAACCTGGGTTCACCAAAAGCAAAGTTTAAACTGCCCAAAATGAAAAAGCCTAAAATTGGTCTACCGGGCCTAAAAGGACCTGAGATTGACGGCGGTTTAGACGTCCCAGACGTCAACCTCAGAGGGTCCAAACCTGGGTTTGAAATGCCAGATGTTGACTTCGGTGGCCCATCTGGAAAAATCAAAAAGCCACATATGAAAATGCCTGATGTGGGTTTTTCTGGTCCATCGGTAGACTTCCCAGATGTCGAACTTAAAGCTCCAAAGTTGGATATGAATGCTCCAGATGTCAACATGGGTTCACTTTATACAGAGGTCAAAAAGCCAAAAATCAAGACACCGAAAATGCCAAATGTTGATATAAATGGAGACCTGCGGGGACCTGATCTGAATATCCCACATGCAGGCGTGAAAGGTCCAAATGGAAAATTAAAAATGCCAAGTTTAAATGCACCAGACCTTAGTCTCTCTGCACCTAAGGCAAAAATACCAGACATAAATCTTTCAGCACCTAAACTCAGAGGCCCTCGAATAAATGCACCGGATATAAATCTCCCAGATACAAATTTCAAAAGTCCCAAATTCAACCTCAATGCAAAGCGGCCCGATCTCGGAATCGATGCTAACATAGGCCGACCTGACATGAACTTTAATGCCCCTCAAGTCAAAGGAGGAATAAGGAGTCCAGACTTTCACATGAATGTTCCCTCTGGAAACTTCCAGGGTCCTCAGACTGATCTTGATCTGGCAAACAGAAAATATAGACTCCCTGCTTTAAAGCCTCCTCAGTTTGGAAGCCCAGATCTGAATCCTGTAGCATCTGATTTTGGTACATCTGTGAGACCAGCAAATCTGGGCTTTTCTCCTCCGAATGCAAAACTGAATGTAAAACCAGTTGAACTGAAGGGGGACTTCTCAGGGCCGAGGGTTAATGCTCCAAACATCAACCCCCGCATTCCTACAGCGGCTCAGAGGAGTCCAGGGCTGAATTACAAATATCCAGATCTTAACATTGATGATCCTTCACTAAATTTCAGAGGACCTTCTTATCAGAACCGCAGATCAGACATGTCCGGTATGAACATGAGGATTCCTGATCTGGACATAGATGGAGATGTCAGACTTCATCACAGTGATAGAAAGTCACACAGAAACACACTCCACAGCTTCCCTGTGGCGGACGCAGGATTTGGCCACGATGTTGATTTCCACCGTTCAGATCTCAACATTGATGATTTCACAGGAAAGGATCACGTACTTAGAGCCAGAGGTTTGAAACTGGACATGCAGGCCTCACATAACTACAGACAGCGGATCCCCCCATCAGGTCTCGATATTGACATGATGGACTCCGTACACACTAGGAGAGTTCCAGCTAGTGACATGTACATGTATTCACAACAGAGAACAGTACAACGTGAATTTAACGCACGAGATCCAAGAATAAAAGTACCCGACAGTACAGACGGATACTACGTCACTTCTTTCCCCACTCACGCACAAAATCAAAAAATGCCAAATCGTAAATATAACACACTCGGACGACTTGACTTTCACCCAGGAAACGTGGAACTTGAAGTTCCAAATCAAAACGACCAGAAAGGTTCTTTCGTTTTCGCTGACCTCGTGTAGGTTTTGTGCTTCCACAAGGGACAGCAACACTTTCTGTTAATATGCTTTTTGTATTGGGTGAATTTTTTTCAGCCACTTACGATGTGTAATGATTTATAATTTTTATCGAATGTGTCATTTTGTACTTCATTTAGATTTGTGAACATAAAGCAAAGAAAAAACACAAAGTACATTATAATGCAGTATTCTTGCACTTCTGTTGTGTGTTTGTATAAGTTACAACCAAAGATTGTAAAATCTCTAAATCTGTGTTTTACTACTGATGTTGAAAGTCGAGGAAGAAAGTATTTAACTTGTGTTAAAATATCATTGTG